GCCCTCTATGTTCTCCACTGCCCCCTGGTGGTCAGCACATGTCATATCGAGTAATCAAACTCCTGTTCTCCTGTTTGAACTCCTGAGGGGACAATTTGCATATTAGCCTTTTATATATATATAGGTAAAAGAAGGATACTCAATGGCATATACGATATTATCCAAACTAATTAAACAAATAAAACCTCTAAACAAAAAAACTAAGCATAAACAAAGACTAGCAGATAATAATAGCAGCTATTCATGAGTAAGAAAAAATATCTTCTTCTTTTCTTATTTTCAACTCTTTCACAATGACCATGTGTTACTTTTACAGAAAAAAAAGGTAAAAAACAAAAACAAAAACAAAAAAACACACACATTATTTTTAAGAACTTTAATTTCCTCAATATTTTTGGTTTTTCATCTTTGCTTTATTGCCTCTGACCAGTCTTGCCTCTTTTCATGCACACCCACACATACTTCTTCTAAACAATCCTTTTAATTTAGTTACACCTTACTTTCTAGTTTCCTTTTCTTTCTTTGTTGATTTCTATTCAAATCTCCTTTTTCTATCCTTTCTCTTCTCTAGGTTTCTGTATCCTGATTCTTTTCAATAAGTCTAGATCATGTTTCTCCAGGTAAGATCATTAGAATTATCCAGGGTACTTATTTCTGAGTTGCTGAATGGGATTTCTGGTGATAAAGACTCAGAACTCTGTGTTTTAAACAAACACTTCAGGTAGTTCTCATGTGTATTTGAGACTGAGAACTTTTGCATTAGCCTTTGACACCATCATTTCCTTTATCTTATCAATCAGTCATTTACTGTGTGCCTGCCATAATAAACATAAAACAAATCTCAACCTACTTTTCTTTACTTATTTACCCACTGTCCTTGAAGTTGTCCAATCTCTTTCTGTCTTGCTTCTCACTACTCTTCCCTGTTCTCTCCATATACTTTTTTTTTTTTTTTTAATTGTTGCTGTCCTCCAATTCCATTTTTCCTTTTTACAATAATAAACATCTTTGGCTTTGGTATTTTTTTTGTTTTGTTATCTTAGTCCACTCAATAATTTAAAGAGGCAGAAGAAGGAAGAGAATGTAATAATTGATTAATATGAGAAAATCACAGAGTTAAAAATAATTTTCTTTTCAATTTATAAACTGAAATATCATCACCAAATGACTTGTCACTTCAGCTTCTACATGAAGAACATTAATTTGCTATGAGTAATGCTTTAAGTATTGAGTGTAGGTGCATGCTTATTTTAAGATCAGAGCTAAGTGGTTATTATTTATTATTATTTATATTATTATTACACAAAAATTTCAGAGCAGGAGGCCATTTTGTGATAGAAAGAGCCATGGACAAGGAGTCTGAAGGTGAATTTAATTTTACTTAAGCTCTAGAATTGTTTACAAATAGGACAGCTTACCTCTCTGAAACTGTTTTTTATCTGTAAAATGAGAATTTGTATTATATAGTAAGGTCTTCTCTAGCTTGTAAGATTTGTGGTTCTCATTGAGATAACTATTGATGATAAAGGCTAGAAAATAACAAGAAATCATATCACTTTCCTCCCATAAAGAATTTTAACTCAGTAAAAATAAAGGTGGGTTTACAAATTAACCCCTATTTGCATACTGTCATATCATGTTTTCCTGGACCTGTTGATATTTTAGATTCTCTTTACAAGAATATTGATTGAAAGCTATGTTTTTAAACTGAAAAGTAAATGTATTTTCTTATTATTTTTTAGATAATAACAATCATGCCGATTGTAAAAAATTCAAACAATATAAAACTGTATAAAGTACAAGTCTTTTGTTTTTCCCTTGCTCTCTAATGATCCTCATAACTTTATTTCCCAGAGGTGGTAGCCACTCTTAATATTTTGGGTATATCTTTCTAAACATTTTTTTTGGAATATGCAGATGTAAGTGTATACTTAGAAACATGCACACACAAATAGGACCATACTCTAATACTCTTTTGCATCTTGCTTCCCACCTCCTTAACAATAAAACAATATAAATTTGGTATATTGCTACTTTTTTCATACCAGCATAAATGGATCTTCCCCTAAAGTAATGGGGGTAATTTGAGGATTCATTATTTTTCTTAGAATTAAACATGAAGGAAAAAACAAAAACAAACATACATTGTCATTAATAGTAACATTGCTTTAATTAATAAATAAATTTTAATGAAATAAAAATACTTGCAAGAGGTAACATTTGGGCAATTATCAAGTTGTTCTATTCATGTAATATTTTATTTTCTTGATCCACTCTTTCGTTTTAAAACAAACAGTGTATACATTGGAAGGGAAAAAATAAATGTGAACTTTAGAGATATTAAAAAGAATGAAACACGAAGAAATTAAAACGTCATTCTGACATGGTGTACAGAATGCCATCTCTTTAACTGACAACCTTTAGTTCCCTGCCTTCATGCAAGCAGCTCAGAAAGTGCCTGAGGGTTTTGAGGATTCTTCAAGGTGTGTCCCATTATGGTTCACATCAGTGCACACGATATACCTCCCTGGCAAGGCCTGAAAGATACAGTTCTTAAATCCCCTGGTGACCCATTATCCACGGATCAGTGACGAGCTAGAATGTGAGCTCCTGTCTCTTTACGAAGGGAAACTTCCCAGTGAAACTGTGGTGTTCACGCACCACATCTTTTATCTCCAAACAAGAAAATTCGTCTAGGAAAAAAGAAACTTCATCAAGTAGATAACACGAATACCCTCCCATTTGTATTATAGTTTAGTATTTATTGAATGGAGAAATATTTGTTGAATGTAGTAGCTATTTATTTGCAGAGACCGAGACTGAGGAACTTTTCCCAAAGCCTGCCTTACCAAATAGACCATTTGAAATGCAAGCTAAATGAATTGCACAAGACCCAGAATTTGGAACATCAAGTTCTATTCATAGATAGTTTGCCTGTTTAAGGACAGTGTTAAGACAGTAGTTCCGTTGGTGGTATTGGCCTGCATGGAACATTTCTCACTGTTTGCCGTGGTTCTCTAGCCTAAGGATTATTTCACTTGTGAACTGGGTCATAGTCACAAATGCTCAGAGGGACTAATTCACAGGCCTCTGCAATATTTGCCATGTGTTTTGCAATATCACAGAGGGACAGTGCTGTGTTGGAAATATTATAATGTGATGACAGGACATGGCCATTTTTTTTATGTGGTTCTGATCCAGATACATCTGAAGGATCCTTATTTTACGTGAATTGTCTTGATTTCTATAAGGATTCAGCTCCATTTCTACCTATTAGGAGATGGAAAAGGTTAGAAAGGGAAAGATGATGTTCTAGTCAATTTGATTAACACTTCATTTCCATCCCAGGTCAAAAGCAAAAAAGAAAATAGGAAATAACTTGATCAACTATCTCCATAGAAATATAGGCAAAGGGTCAAATATTGTGGCCTAGACTAGTGAATATATATATATATATATATATATATATATATATATATATATATATCCCTTTGACCCAGCAATTCCACTAGAGCTGAAGAAAGTGACATGGCCAAGAATACTGTCTGAAATATTGCTCAGAGTAGAAAACAACTCAAAAGAACATAAATATTTGCTAACAGGAAAATAGATAAATAAATCATGGCTAGTCATAAAATGGTATATCATATAGTAGTTAAAAAGAGTTAGCAGTACATGTATCAGCAAAGATTAATCTGAAGCACATCGTGTATTAAAAAAAAAGGCAGGTTGCAGAATATTAAGTATATATAACTCATGTAAAGTTTGAACACATAATACATAACTTGTATAAATACAATAAAAGTATAAAGTGTTCTTAAAATAATAAACACCAAATTCTGGATAGTACCGGTAATTACCTTTGGGGAGAAAGATGGGAAAAAATAGGGACTGGTATACATTGAAAGGGACATCAACTGTATTTATGATACTTTATTTCTTTTAAAAAATATGAAACAAATATAGATGTTGTTAAGCCTGGACAAAACTACGTAAGTGCTGTGTGTAGGGGTGTTTATTACATGTCTCCATACTTTCTATATGCTTGAAACTTTTAATAATAAACTAAGGACCACACAAGGGACTTCATTCCAGAAAATTGTGGTGCAAAAATGTTAAGTGACTTTCTCAAGGTGCAAACCAGTTCTAGAAACTTGCCTTCCCACAAAAGTCTATTTCCCCTGGTCACTCCCTAGCTTAATGTTATTCCAATTGTTGAAGGTGTTAGGCACAGACACAAAGACCTTATAGCCATCTCTAATTTAAGAGACAAGGCAAAAGGTACAAATGCATCAACCGCTAAAACTTAAATAAGTAAGCATTCAATTAGAATATTTTGAACATGACATCAAATTCACACCACTTTCTTATTAGGTAGGTCAGCATATTTATTTCATGGATAAAGAAGGAGATGAATGGCCAAAACCGGTTTGGCTCAGTGGATAGAGCATCAGCCTGGGGACTGAAAGGTCCCAGGCTTGATTCCAGTCAAGGGCACACACCCTGGTTGAGGGCACATCCCCAGTGCGGGGTGTGCAAGAGGCAGCTGATCAATGTTTCTCTTACATCGATGTTTCTAACTCTCTATCCCTCTCTCTTCCTCTCTGAAAAAAAAAAAATCAATAAAATATATTTTTAAAAAAGAAAGAAAGAAAGAAGTGAATGGGGGAGTAGTAACGGGATGAAGTAAATTGCCTGAGGCTCTGTAGCACAGAGGAGTGAAAGGTCTGAATCAGAATTCCTAACTTGGGCTAATCTAGTGCAAAACCTTGAGTCCCTTTCTTTCTGATCTTACCTTTCAGGTCTGTGTGCCTCCCTTGCACACCCTCCTGTAAAGCAATGCTACTCTTTTGGAAATTGTAAGAAAAGGGCCCATACCACTAATACCTTATCAGAGAAATTGAGTATTTTTTTCACATTCAAAGTTGGACATTTGCTGGTAAAAAAAAAAAAAAAAAAAAAAAAAAAGTTTAAAATAAGCTTTTTTTTGTCCACTTAAGTGTGCCAAACCCTTCTCTCCAGATGGTCTCAAAGAATGTTCAAGGAAATAATTTTCCAGACTGCAACTATTCTCTTCAGATCTTTGAAGACGGATTTCAGGTGAGCTTTCATCCACTGTTGGCAAGTACAGGGAGCAGAAAGAACAGAATAATTATAGTGGCCTAATCTACCTAGATGGTGTTATGACATCCATTCTACCTATAAAATTCTAGCACCCATAAAGTTTCTATTCAAGCGCTCGTCTTCATTTCTGCCTACTACAATAATTTGCTTTACTATCGATATCGTGATAGCCAAAGGTCATTAATTGTTTCAGCTTCTTTTTCCTGTATTCATTTGAAATAATTGTCACAGAAATAAAGCTCTTATGGGGAAAAAAATTATTCTGAGCAGAATTCAAGTATTCAGCATCAGAATGTAGTCTGGTCTGATAGACACTATGGCTACCCAGGAGTCTACCGGCAAACGTTACCCCTGTGCACTGTACACTTCCCTGCAAAGCTGATTATAGGTTTATGTGGTAAGTGCTGGATACTGACTGGTATAGGAACTCTCCAGAATTACTCATTATCTTCATTTTCCAATGAATCCTTTCTTCCCCTGGTTGATGTGTGAAGCGAGGCTTCTAAGGACTTCTTCGGTGTGCTTATTAAGAACATCTGTAAAGAGCATCAGAATGAAGTGTTGAATTTCACCCATTTGGATTTCATTAAAGTGTCTATAGTTGTCAAGCATTTAGAAAGTCAAGACACTAAGAGTTTGGGGTTTGACCCAAAGGAAATTGGTCCTCATTTGAAGGCTAAACAGGAGGGATAACTGAGCCAAAGTTTTTTAGGGAGATTTAAAAAAATCATTCCTTTTAGATACATGCCCCTAAAGAATGGAAACTTGAACAGTCATGCTTTCTACGAGCATGTTTTCCATCTTGCCAAAGCAAAGTGTAGTTTTATTGCAGAGGTAGGCAGAGTTCATGGACTCCTAGTGGGTCCTCAGGCAGACCTTAGAGGGCCCCTAAGCTCTGAAATTGTAAACAAAATTTCATGTGCACATACACATGCGTATTTTTCTCTGGGAAGAGGAAGTTATAGCTTTCATCAAATTTTCAGAAACATCTGTAATTCAAAAAAGGTTAAGAAGTGTTGGTTTATTTTCTCATGTATTTAGATATCTTCAAATGTTCAAAGTATCTGACTGAGCAGAGCTTTTAGCGTCTCCTTTTACTAAGAGTACAGAATATGCTAATAAGGTAAACTAATTTTTAAATATTAACCAATGACCAGAATTTTGGTAACTTGTGAAATCTCAATTATAGCTAAATTCACCTACATGTGTATTCTGACTCACCCAAGTATGACAAAGGTAATACTTGGAATAAATGACATAAAAAGAGTAATTTGGTTGAAAAGTGAAAATATGTTGTATTGGCAGAACAAATTAGTGAAATAAAGAAGCTTGAAAAAAATTCCATCATATTTAGTAGTAGTAGTAGTAATAAAAGTATTCATTTGGTTACTTAATTAATTGTGCTCTGATTATGGTAAAGTGGCAAAAATCAATGTATATGGTGACTCAAATCCACTTTGAGTAAAAACAGCAATTTCATTTTATAAAGAACACCAAGTGAAATAAATTCTGATGTGAAAAACCCCCTGGTGGGGATTTCTCTGTTTTGTAACATTTAAAATGAATACCAAGTAATCTGATCATTATTACGCTATTTCTACCTGCATTTATATTAATATTTGGAACGGTTGGCAAAATTTAAGAAATCATATTTTAAATTCAAATACAATACATTATTTCTCCTCTTCATGTGATGTTTAAAAAGTGTTGTTTTAACTGGATCCTGTAATTCGGTTTGGCTTTTAAAAATCAATTTTTTTTTTTTTTTAAACCTTAAATCCCACGACCATTGTTTATTATAAAGGTGAACCCAGATAAGCTCATCGGTAAGATTTCTGGTAGCGAGCACGGGCACCAGGACCACCAAACTTTTTGGATTCACAGCGACGAGGATCAGCTACCAGCAGGGTCCGGTCATACTGGATAAGGATGTCTTTGATTTCCTTCTTGGAAGCTTCATCCACATATTTCTGGTAGTAGGCCACCAGGGCTTTGGAAATGGACTGACGGATTGCATAAATCTGGGCCACATGACCACCACCCTTCACACGGACTCGGATGTCCACGCCAGCAAATCGCTCCTTCCCAAGAAGCAGAACAGGTTCCAGCAGCTTGTATTGAAGCGTGCGCGGCTCGATCATCTCCAGGGGCCCTCCGTTTACCTTTATGAGGCCGTTGCCCCGTTTGCAGTGCGCCACGGCTGTGGCGGTCTTCTTGCGTCCGAAGACCTGCACAGACTGCAGAGGCCCCTTGGATGGCATGACTGCGGGCGTACAGCAGAGATGCTCACCGCGCGGCGCCGACACCGGAAAAGGCTAAAAATCAATTTTTTAAAAGGACTTGTATGCATGCATATAAGTATAGCCAATAGATACAGATTGGGGGGGGGGTGAGGGCATGAGTGGGGGGAAGGGAGAAAATGGGGGGATAATGACACATTTGGAATACCTTAATAAAGAAAAAATGCAAATAAATAAATAAATAAATAAATAAATAAATAAATAAATAAATAAATAAAGGCTGTCTTTCACTAAAAAAAATTGATTATTTAGTACACTTGAAATAACATGTCTTTAACCTTGTTTTCTTGGCGAATCATCCACTTTAGAATGGAATCAAAACACAGAATGCAGAAGCACAGCATGTGTCTTTGATTAATAAGCTATCTGCCATTTTTTGCTTTATATCACAAAAATATATACAAGTTACATTTTCCCCTTGACTTAAACTTCAGACACCAGTCCATTCTGATTCATCTTTGCTCCTTGTGCAGCAAGCCTTCCTTGGCCACCTTCTTGAATTACCCATCCTCTCAGACAGCTCTTTAGCTTCTTATACATATATGAACCTGGCCTGTTTCCAAATTAGCTTGGCTAGTCTCTTAATCTTTCCCATCCTCTCTCAAAAGTCCTGATCAGCCCCGTTGATACCGACCAAACCAAATTTAATTTCCAGTCTTCATACTCCCATGTCCCCCTACACCCCCTTGATATAGAATACTGCATATCATTAAGCTTTCTTTTCTCATGTTATTTTTCAGATGCCTTGTTTCGCGCCTCTTGTCTTTCCCTCTAACTTTGCCTCAAAATATTTTCTTCATTTTGCTGTCTCTTAAAAACATACTTCAATTTAAATATTAGCAAAACATGGATTCCTTAAGAGTTGCTCATTTGTTTTAAAGTTAAGGTTTCTTTCTGTTTTTCAGCTTCAGGTTTCTCTCTCATTATTTAAAAAAGGTTAAGAATCAGTAATGGTTGCTCTAGCTGTTTTGGCTCAGTGGATGGAGTGTCAACCTGCGGACTGAAGGGTTACAGGTGTGATTCTGGTCAAGGGCACATGTCCAGGTTGCAGGAGGCAACGGTTTGATGATTCTCTCTTATCATTGATGTCTCTCTCTCTCTCTCTCCCTCTTCCTTCCTCTCTCTGAAATCAATAAAAGCATATTTTTAAAAAGAATCAGTAATGGTTGTATTATATCTCAATAAAGCACTTATGAAAACAAAACAGTGAAGTAGGTGGAAAAAGAATAAAGGAATTTATGTGAAAGTGTTTGGAAAGATATAACCTGTGATATGGACCCTATATATTAATCATTATAATTATGTCTACATGCACTACTTAACTTTACAAATTCTCTGAAACCTTTTTATAAACTAACTAGAGGCCTGATGCATGAAATTCATACAAGAGTAGGCCTTTCTTCCCCCGGCTGCTGGCACCGGCTTCCCTCTGGCACTCGGGACCAGGTTTCCCTCGAAGCCCTGGATTAGTCTGGAAGGTCATCTGGAAGGACATCTGGTCTAATTAGCATATTACACTTTTATTATTACAGATCATTTAAATTTCTCTGCTAACTCACGGTTGTAGAACTATTTATCCAAATATAAATTATGTCAAAGCTTTTAGCAGGTATATAACAGGTGTCCAATAAATGTTAAAAAATAAAGAAGTGAAAGGACATTTGATAGAGTCAAGACATATCCATTACTACAGGATTGAAATACTAGAAGATTTTAACCTTTGCCTAAAATAATAGGAGCCAATCTAAAGTTGTTTTTTTAATCTTATTATTTGATGTTAGAAATAACATATGCTATTATATAATATCAGGTTAAAATTTATTTTTAGGCCTTTCTTAGAAGACTATTATTTTAAAAATATATTTATATTGATTTTTTACAGAGAGAAAGGAAGAGGGAGAGAGTCAGAAAGATTGATGAGAGAGAAACATCAATCAGCTGCCTCCTGCACATCCCCTACTGGGGATGTTCCCACAACCAAGGTACATGCCCTCAACCGGAATCGAACCTGGGACCCTTGAGTCCAAGGTCAATGCTCTATCCACTTAGCCAAACCGGTCAGGGCTAGAAAACTATTATTAAATGGCATTTGAAAAATGATCTTGTAGGCTAATATGTTTATCCACATTCAACTGTCTTCACATTATGGAGACCTCACAGTTTTCGTGACCAAAAATATTTATTTCAACATAGTTCTTTCTTTTGGAAACAGAGAGCTGCTTGCTTTTTTATTTTGTAAAATATGCAACAATGACTGTGGAGTTCAAGATATTTTTGTTGCTCGGGAGGTGTTTTCCCCCTCTCTTTCCTCCCATGTCAACTGTTCCTCCCTCTCAGTTTCTCAGAACCAATGAAGAAAAAAATATTATTATTTTTTAAAAATATATTTTATCTATTTTTTGCCGAGAGGAAGGGAGAGATATAGAGAGCTAGAAAGGTCAATGAGAGAGAAACATCGACCACCTGCCTCCTGCACACACACACACACACACACACACAACCACTGGGGATGTGCCTGCAACCAACGTACATGCCCCTGACCGGTATCGAACCTGGGACCTTTCAGAATCGAACCAATGCTCTACCACTGAGCCAAACCATTTTTGGCAAGAAATATTATTTATCAA